ATCTTGCCTTTGTATTGATATTATCCGAGATTTTAGCGCTAGTGTTTTTTGCATTGCCGAGAAAAAAATATCTGCAAAACACCAGTATTTTATTAACGGCGCTGCATCTAAGGGATATGGAATGACGTAAATATCTTTGCTTGTGGTCGACCGCGAATTTGATGTCGTCGGGACACTGTAAGAAGTTAACCAGAAGGTAACTGTCATGTTGCACTGAAATGGACGTGCGTCTGAAAGATTTCCAAAAGAACTCGTCAAAAATGTAGGGTTTATTGAGATTTAGTCGGTTAGGCATAATCGTGCAGTATATAAACTATTTTTTTCAGTGCCTTGATGTTGGTGGCGCCGATGATGTTACCGTTGCGTAAAGAAGATCGGTGATCTTAGCGTTTGTATTGTTTGTGTTGTTTGGTTGCTGCCTATGTTGTTAATTATGAATAACATGACGATTATTATGACGGCAATGATTGTGGCGATGATGTTGATGATCGCAAAGATTATCACGAGGATGTTTACGACGAAGACATTAACCAGCGTTGGCGATTCTTTTTGGAATTTTTTTAGTTGGCAGTTATGACGGCCCTTATAGACGACGAAGAGGAGGATATCATGATTGCTTTTCTTGTTTTCCCTGGCGGTAATGGTGACTGGTCAGATTGCAATCGTCTAACTTTTGGGCATTTAAAGTTACCTGGCATCTGTTCAATTTAGAGGTAACTGGATGTATCCGAATTAAAAAGAAGGAGATGAGATCGCTGAAAAGAGAGTTTTATCCCGAATTTCACTGGAAACCAATCTTGGAGTGAGTCACAAAATGCATTTATTCTATCACTGTTGACCATTGTTTTGGAGAGGAAACGTACATGCGATTCCGAAGCTATTGCCCTTGCGTTGGCAAGATCGGTGCTTTTAGCGCTGTTATTGTTTGTGTCGTTGGTAGTGATGACATTGCTGTTGATGTTGCTGCTGTTGTTGCTTCACTTGTTGATGACGTCGTTGATGATGGAGACGACGACGCCCATTACGACGGCAATGATTGTGGTGATTATGTTGATGATCGTAAAGATTATGACGGGGATGTTTACGACAATGACATAAATCAGTGCGAAAACGACGGGGATGACGATCATGTTAATGCCGCCGGTGCGGTTCCTTTTGGACTGTCCTTAGTTGACGGCAATGATGACGGTGCCGGCCACAATAGGCGATGAAGGGGAGAATGCCGTGATTGCTTTTCTTTTTGCTACGGTTCTAGGTTCTAGGTTAGTTCAACATGTTGATGTCGAGAATGACAAAGCCTTAAGAAATGGGATGAGGACCGTCATCAGTACTCCTGGAAGCCCGACTGGCAAACCGGTGTCGTGAGTATATATATATATATTATGATAGTGGGCGCTCACCGATCAGGATACGGAACATGCTCGTTCCGTTGGGTATGACTGGCTGATGACGGCTAATAAGCCAGAAATGGTCATTCCGGTCTCCCTTGACTTTGTCGGCTCCATCTCATCTATGTCTACTACTAGTGGCTGTGCGACTGCCTGCGAGGGTTCTAATATGAGCCCCAAGGCACAACGGAACGAGCATGTTCCATATCCTGATCGGTGAGCGTCCACTATCATAATTAATATTCCCGATCACAACCGACAGGACAACGGGCCCCTGGCTCAATGGTAGAGCGTCAAACTCCATGACCAAAGATTCCGGGTTCGAATCTCAAGTGATCCACACTTGGGGTTGGGTATGACTGGCTGATGACGGCTAATAAGTCAGAAATGGCCATTCCGGTCTCCCTTGTCTTTGTCGGCTCCATCTCATATATACATATATACCAGAGGGGAGACGACAGAGTCTGGGGGAGGGTAGATTGATACAGCACTGTTTCGGGCTTGTTTGCTTTCAGTCAGCACATTTCTGAGTGATTGCACCAGACGGAATTTTGTAGGAGACATTCCTTGCCGCAGCCCTTATTGTGGATGATAGACGCAGTCGGCTTTGGTATTGTGCTGTTCTGAAAATGAATTTGTCGCATTTGAGCGTTCGGAGGTAGCAATCTCCTGTAAGTTCGCATGAATTCCCTGCTGATTGCAGTCCCAACTGTTGGCCATAAAGCATGCACGAGCTGCATCCACTGCAGCACTTAGCCGACTGTAAACAAGTCGCCACTGGAAGAGCACTTGTAGGCGTGCATGACAGACGCGCAGCTCACCTCCGACGCGACATCGACTCACCCCACCGCCAGTAAATATTCATGTGCTCTAACAAGTCGGCGCCTTACGCCGGCAAACGGTTGGGGCTACTTCGTAGCGATCAACATTCCAAATTACTTGGCCCGACCGGCAATCCGGCTTTTGGCATTGCCAACACTAGCTTGGCTTGTAAATGTGCCCTGGGCGTTGGTGGCAAGGATCGAAAACGCTGCCTTGGTCCCAGGTAGGAAGGGCATGCTGCCTGTATTACGGGAACCACGGAAATAGGGGGGTTTACGGGTGGGACAATTAAAAGGCAGTGGAAAAGTTGGCCAGGAATGCCGTCTTGCTGAGGACTATCCCAAAGAGTATAGAAGCTATTTGAGTTAATAAAAAAGTCCTATTATATGTGTATATATTAAAATTCTGGCGTTCTAGGAAGAACATTTGGAATATTTGAGGTTTGTCTGCGAGCTTAATCTTCGAAAGAGTTGCCTTCTTTCTTGTCAGGACTTCTCGTAAAGCTGTGTGGAGGAATTAATGTTAATACGTGCCTACAAACGAAGAAGGGAACCGCGTGGTATTTCGCAGTAAATGGCCAATGTAAGGGAACCCACGGAGTTCCGCGCTGTCCGAAAAATTCCATTGGCAAGTCTACCTGGTCACTCTCTGTATTAGGATAGTAAAGAGGGCGCAAGCAGGTCTTGAAGCACGCTCATTGAAGCGCATATCTGAAGCAACGGAGGCTGGCGTATGAGCACTCCTCCCTCTGTGGCACAGTCACTCACAGAATGAAAATTCTAAGGAAGATGCAAATACGTGGCATTTTTATAGTCAGCGTACTCTCATCGAATGAGTTGTTTTAGCTAACTTGCCATATGCCATCACTCATATGAGGCTGCAGGACCACATCCTGCCGAATTTTTTATATAGTTCATTTTGACCTACTTTACAAACGGCACTGGGTAAACAATGATTATTTATGTGCTATGAACTTTCATGTCTTTACATATTCAAATAAATTTTATGGGAAATATAAACAAAATTATGCATTCTTGTACTCATATGGTAGTAAATTGCTCTCTCTTCAAATTCTATACACAAAGAAAGAGCACATTTGGTTTCGAGAATTTTATTCAATTCCCCAATAATTTTGAGTCCAATCTACCTCTGCGTCTGCTTTTAGCATTTTCAGGCTACAAGGTACACTTTTCTGTCTAAAAAATCAGACACCCCTTTGTGCCTCAAGAAAGCCACGAAAAGCTCATACAGTCTTGCATTTGATGCGCACACTCTTGCATAATTCATGAGAATCATTAATAAACAGACAAATACGATTCTCTATGAATGGAGATTTCGAGGTCTTAGGAATTCTCATAATCAGAACCGTTCTTATCAAATCAGAAGAACTTGGACATTGCGCCGAAAATTGTGAGATAAATTAGACATTTGGATTTGTCAGTGTTCAGAAGCAGCAATTCTCTGCATATCCGCATGAATCTCCTGGTGATTGCGGTGCACAACTGTTGGCGATAAAGCCTGCACGAGCTGCATCCACTGTTGCTCTGGTCGCCACTGGAAGAGCAGCTGTAGGCGTCCATGACAGTCGCGCAGCACACCTCCGACGCGACACACCAACCCGTCCCATCGACAGTAAATATTCATGTGCGCTAGCAAGTTCGCACCCGTCGCCGGCAAACGGTTTGGGCTACTTCGTTGAGATCATCCTTCCCAACTAACTTGGCCCGACCGGCGATTCAGCTTTAGGCACTAAGTTCCCTTTTCGTGGGGTTTACACAAATTTTGAAAAAATACTCGCTGCAGAGTTGGCGTGCATGGCTCCCTTGGAATCGGAGTGTAATGCCTAAATCTCCAACTCAGATAACCACCTGTGATCAACAAACGCAGGTTTTAGCTCTACGGTTGGAAGGTGGAGCAGGTCCCATCTTCCACGCGCGCCAAGTTCTGCTAGGGCTAAGAAGCAATTACCCCCACGCATTACAGGTGGTTTTCTGAGTTGGGATTAATGTTAGGGTTAATATTAAAAGTTGGGCGTTATGGTTAGGGATTGAGTTGGCGCTAGGAAAGGGGAATAGGTAATCCACTGAAAGTCGGATCAGGGCTACTTGTAGTACCGGGGAAGGGGTACATATTCTCATGTCTAGTCCACATAGGACACGCAGACATCGGTCTCTGCTCTAGGCTAGGAACGTTCCTGGTCTCGCCAATATCCGTGCGACAAAGACGGTATTCGCGGGGGCACTGTATTCTTTCCGAAAGCGCAATGACAACAAATGCCCTATTAAAGTGATCAAGAAGGGCGCTTATTCAGAAGGGATGCGCAAGGACGCAAGGACCGAGGATATAAATGTTCACCATTTACTGCACTCGAGTAGTCGCTGATGATGAACTCTAGCTCGAGTTCGAAAGCTCAGGCAAATAAACCTGCTGTCCAAGTGATCGTGTCTTCGCCTTCTTTTAAACAAGAACCTGGGATGCGCATATTCTATTCCATTCGTGGGATGTTTTTACATTTGTGTGTGAGTCTACTGTCTTGCACCGCAGCAGCGACAGCGGTACGTGTGCTTTTTTCACCCCTGCACGCCATGGCG